ACGGGCTTAGTCATCGCCCGTGCGTCCGTGGCGTGCCGTGTGTGCAAGCACATAGGTGAATCATCCTTGCGACTTGCACTCCAACCTCATCTCATGAAAATTCCTCACGGCTAATCTAAGGAAAAAGGATTTGGATTACTTAACCTTGATCATAATGCTATGCATCATATAAGCATGCGCTTAGTAGCTCATTGATGCGTGCGCTATGTGCTGCTCGCGGTAACGCGTACGGCGTGCGTTCGCGTGCGTGGCCGTACGCACGACATGCGTGCACAAGTGCGTGCATAATGTACCTTGTGCATTTGTACCTTAACTTGATTTTTAACCTTGAACTTAGATACATTCTCAATAATTAATCCCAATTAATAATGTCCGTTTATAAAATAAGCGGTTCGGAAATTAATTATCGAATTAACTCGGTTAATAATTAACCGGATAAACTTTTCGACTTAACGTCGAATGTATTCGCTGAAAATGAACGGAATCAATAAAAGATAATACATCATTTCTATTATCAAAAAGTTGGGTTATTACAATCTACCCTCCTTAAAATATTTTCGTCCTCGGAAATATATAACAAAACATATATACATGAAAAATTTACATATCAAAACTGAAAGTCGGGAAAGCGAGCGCGAATGTCAGCCTCCTGCTCCCAAGTAGCTCCGTGGCGATCCCACTGAATACGTACGAGGGGAACATTACGCTTCCGGAGCCGTCGAACCTGTCGGTCCAACACAGCTACTGGTCGCTCCTCGTAAGATAAGTCTGGATGAATCTCAATATCAGTATGAGGAATAATTTGATCGGGGTCGCACACGTACTTGCGTAACATAGACACATGAAAGACATTGTGCAGACTGGATAGCTCGGGAGGTAAGGCTAAACGATACGCAACATCGCCCACTCGCTCGAGTACTTCGAACGGGCCAATAAACCGAGGGTGTAACTTCCCTCTCTTCCCGAATCGAATAACTCCGCGAAATAGACTAACTCTGAGAAAAGCATGCTCGCCAACCTCGAACTGAATATCTCATCGATGATGATCGGCGATTGATCTCATTCTGCTCTGAGCTGTTCTGAGTCTCTGCCGGATCAACTCGACTTGCTCGGCTGTCTCCTCGATCAGCTTCGGACCGAGTACTCGACGTTCTCCGACGTCGTCCCAATAAAGAGGGGAACGACATTTACGACCGTATAGTGCCTCATAAGGATCCATCTGAATAGAAGAATGATAACTGTTGTTGTACGCGAACTCTACGAACGGCAACAACGACTCCCATTTAGCACCCCTGTCAACAGTCAAAGCGCGTAACATATCCTCCAACGTCTGTATAGTCCGCTCCGTCTGTCCGTCAGTCTCGGGATGGTAGGATGAACTGAAGGCTAACTTCGTACCCATTGCCTCGTGTAAACTCTTCCAGAATCTACTGGTAAATCTGGGGTCTCTGTCTGACACAA